TATTATATACTGTGTATGTATTATATATTTATTTATTTAACACTTTTTGTACTAAAGGTACAAACGCCATAATATAAAATTATCTACCAGCGAACAGGAAAGTTAGTGGGAGAAGTGTGTAATACATTATTTACAATATATATTAATAATTTTTGTATGTATAAACTTGGACTTAAATGCAAAAATAAAATTTGTGTCAAAATTCTAAATGCAATGTAAAGATAGAAAAGATAAAGATCTATCGGTAACTTTTTTATAGGATAGTGTGACAAACGTGCACACAGTCCACCTGATGGTAAATGCATGCAGTGGTCCAGCCACATCTATCCTCGATTACGAAACAAAAGGCAGATGCGTTATCACACGTGAGGACCGAAATGGAATGCCTCGTTTCCAGTAAAAAGGATCTCCGGATCTCTACCCTCACCATACAAAACACAGCGGCATTAAGCTACTATTTTACGCTGGTATTCTGTGAGAGTATGGTCCTTCTCCGGTCGAGCCGACCCATTCGTGCTACAACTTATGCTATTAATGTAACTGCAGTCTTTTCAGTGGACTAAGAAATATCTAGCACAATCTCAATGTCGTCTTAATAAGTAACATTATATATAAGAATTCATCCCTTAATTTGCAACTCTTAGCTGTTTAATTTCTTCACATTTATATGACACCACTCCAGTATAGTATGAGCTATGTACTAAAAAATGATCATCGAAATCGGTTTACTATTCGTGAAGATATCGCGTAACATACATATTATAAAAAACATACAGTTGAACTTCTACTTTTTTTTAGAAGCGGGCTTAAATGGATACACAGTTCTACTTTTTTATAAATTACTAGCTGGCAATTGTGAATACATCTTTTCAAATTTGGAAGAAATATACTGTTTAAATAAGAATAATAGTACACTAATTGAAATTGATGATCTATAACTTTCAAATAAATCTGTCGGTTCGATACGCGCGCCAGCTAGTGTAAGTTAATTGTACTATGCCTATAACCTTCGCGCAAGTGCAAGCAATAAGTTGATAAAGTTTTACCGCAATCTGATGAACGGTATGGCAGGGCGTAAAATACAAACAAACAAATATTAATTTATAATATTTTTTTATGTATTAGATAATAGATTTAGCGTCGGGTTTACCCAAATAGGTAACATAATAACAAATTACAAACAAAGGGCTGATTTTTATTGAAACACCATATTGTTATTAATAATAAATAAACATTGTTCAAGCATGAATGGGAAATTTTAGTATGTCGTAAACACAGTTTTGAACAAGATAGCGTATCTTATCGCAGGACTTTTTGTAGTACAAGATTTGATATTTCATGTTTTGGAGGTAAATGCTGCTGGTATTGTTTTTATAATGTGGTTTTGAGATTTTCCGTTAAGTGTTGTTCATATTTGAGTATATAATATTGAAAAATTCAACATTTCTTTCATGCAGTAAACAAGCTTTACTAATTGGAAGATTTCTGCCTTGATTTTAAATACCTACAAGTAATATAATTATAAAAAATACGTAGCGTGTGTCTATCATTCCTACGACTCAAGTCAACCAATCGTCTAATATGTTGAACCGTGTCAAAACGGAAGTCACACCAAGCAATTTAAAATGGTTTATGTCTTAAAATTTGTTTTATAAGATTTTTGAGGTAACCTTAAAAGAATAAACATGAATCTCAATATTCGCTCGAGTGGTAAATAAATGTAACATTATTATATAGTGAACGGTACGTTGTGTAACACAAACTCTTCATCAAGTCCCTAGGTAATTTGTAGATAAAATTTTCGCAATTTATTTTCGTTAACTTTACATCATTTAGGTGTTACATATATACAAACGAAGTTTAATAATTGCGAAAATATATATTTATACTGTTTATTTAGGTAATCGATTAAAAATACGTTAATAATTCAAAAAACCTACATTTTATTTCATGTTTTTACATTGCCCCATATCATATCGTGGGTGTCGTAAGAGGTGAAAGAGGGATGGTTGAAAAGGAGATGGGCAGCACCGTGTTCGTGATAACAATTGAAAATAATAAAAAAACTGCGGTTGCCAAGCTTCCTGCCAAGCATCGTAAATATAGCAAAATAAAATAGTCCTATATTCAGTAGTAGACTTTTGTAGGCTATAATGAATGGAACTGATATGTGAATTGTATAGAATTATACTGATACATGAATAAAAAATGGTTTTATTGAAGTTTAAATTCGTAAGTATGACCATATTTCGCAATATAGATCTAAGCTTAGTTAGCTTACAGTAACTCCTTTATAGTTCAGGCTACACGCCTTTGGAACTTCTTGCCTGATGAAATCAGAAAAGCTCCCAATAAGTTTTCTTTAAAAAAGTTGGCGCGTAATTATCTATAGACAATGCTTCTTTCATGAATCATCCATGTAATTTACTGGGTGATTTTTTACCGTCTGGAAAAAAATAGGCTGTAACAGCTGAACGGAATAGGCCTATGGCACTGATATTTTACAATTTTTATTTTATTTTACATTAACATATTATGAAGTTAATCTGTCAATAAATACTACTGATAAGGTACGTATTACTTTAAATTCCATAGTTTTTAATTGATTTATTTATTTAGTTCAAAAATTTTGTTGTTATTTTTTTTAGTACCGAAAGTTTATTTCAAATTATGTAGTAGTATTTATTGATAGATCAATTTCATAATATGTTACCTAATGTAAAATAAAATAAAAATAGTAAAATATCAGTGCCATAGCATAGGCTTCTATTCCGTTCACCTTTTACCCCCTATTTTTTTCCAGACGGTAAAAAACCCAGTAATGTTAACAGACGTATAATTTATACTTATTGATAAGTACTATTTACATATGTATATATTTGTATATATGTGTAAATGTGGGAGATATTTGTATATTTTATTTATTTATATATTTGTAAAAGTACATATATCACGTAGTTAATTATCATTTTTATTTAGTTTTTATTCTATACCCGCTACACTTACGTCAAATTCTCACCCCCCCCCCCCCCCCCCCATGGTTTGACTGGTAAAGAATGCCTCAAGGCATTAAATTCGCCCTTTGTATTCTTTTATTAGGAATGCAGTAAAGAATAAAAAAAAGTTTAAAATATTTTTAAATTTGTGAAATAAATCAAATCTAATAACTTGCTTCAAATGAAAGTGCATTATTATATGATTTTAACTGGACTATTACAGTCTACATCCGAAGTGATTTAATAAAGATACCTGCGTTTAATTACTGTATGATTCCTTTTGTGAAATAAAATGTTTCAACTGCAGTATTAACTTTGCTTTAAAAGCTTTAAAATTATTAAAACTTGATTGAAATTAATAAATTTATGATAAATAATGTGTTTTTATAGCTTGACTCTAAAACACAGGCAGCCTTAAATTTTGTCATTCCATATAATTATATGATTATACGATTATTATATTATACATAATAGAACGTTATAGGGTATAAGTCAAGCTACGATAGTGAATCTTGCTTAAGTCCAAATTGTTTGTCAAGTAAAGTTTGAATAACATGAAGGTTAATTATCAATTTTCCGACCTAAGAAAATCTTACATTTATTAAAGCGCTTACCTTTAATTGCTTTTTTGTGACAGCTGTTGAAAAATATTAATACTATAATCCGCAAAAATTTTAAGTTACAATACGAAATTCACCGTTAGCGATTCATATTTAAAATATTGTTGAAAGAATAAATAAAATCTAAAATATTGAGATTATTAATATTAGTACAGGATTACACAACTGGAAGACTAGTCAGTGAGTCTATTTTATTATTGTCATATTATAGGAACTATGTATTACATTTTCCATAGTTGATCATGAGGCATTCTTCTTAAGTGTTATACTTATATCATATATGTTATGGAAGAATTAACTTTTAAAATCGTTAAACACGGTCGGTGAAACCAGTTTGAATCAAACAGGTTGGTGATAATAATCTAATTTTGTACCAAATTACGTACAACGTAAGGGTTAATGTAAATATAGATAGATATAAAATATTTTTGGCGTGTAAAAACATCATATAGAGACACGTTTTTTTTCTATTCTTAAGACTTACCGTCTATAAGAATTACGTACTAAAATGTTTTCAAAGTTTTAAACTGTATCTTCACTTGCATGGTTAGAAACTACGTAAATACCTAGATAAACTTGTTCGCAGTAGTACCCAAGGGTATTAAAAGCAACTATTTTATTTAGTGTATTTTAGTTTCCAGATAATTTAAAGCGTTCATTTGTTAATTATGCGTATGAGAATTGCATACATAATTAAATAAAATTGAGTTTTTATAATTCTAGAAACTAATAATGGAAAAACTTTATTCTAGATTTTAGTATAGATTATTAAATACGAATTAACTTTATGGTTCGTTGAAGTCTAAAACATACTCACATTAAAAAAATATTGTCGGTTTTAAAATTGTTTTAAAAATATGGCGAAATCCAAAATATAACAAAGAACATTAATAGACATTATCAATGAAGTCTGCAGTCGTAACACGATCAAGACTATATTTGAAAATAAGTAATTTTAAATACATAAAATTGAATTCACTAGACAATTAATTTATATTTGACTAAATTCTAAAACCATAGTTTTAGAATTTAGTGAAATTATTTTGTATTTATAAAAACTGTAATAACATTTAAACGTGAACGTGTACTATAATATAAGCTCCAATGCAAGGAGAATATTGTTTGAAATCAAACGATAAGCTCACGAGCACGCAAGCTTGACGGCGTGTACTCACGAAGGGCATCGCGTTACTCGGCTTCCGCTGTAAACTACCGTGTAATAAAACGTACAGGAAACAAAAGCGACGTCTCAGCGCTGAAGCCGCAACACTCGCACACCGTCAAGTAGCACTCGTCAGCCGTCTCCTCGAAGGTCATGGCGCGCGCGCATCGCACGGGGAACCTTCGCCCACTGACAGGCGGAGCGACATAGACCCACACTCACCGGTCCGCTGCCGTTCCCAGCTTTGTTCTCCGGTTCGATGAGGTCTCCGTAGGCCGGCATTGTGTCCGCGGACCCCTCCTCTTCCGTTTCGTTGTTGTCGCGCGAATGCGGTGGCGAGGGCGAGTGCGCGCCGGCCCCGAGCCGCACGCGCGCTAACGCCACCGCCTCTTCCAGTGACCCCACTTCGCCCCCGCTCCCCACCGCGCCCTCATCTTCATCGTCGTCGTCATCGTCGTCGTCTTCGTCGTGGTCATCAGAAAGACAAGCTGAAGTCTCTATTCGCCGCTTTAAAGCGCTCCCGGGACTCGGCTCCTCTACCGGCTTAGGTATTTCGGGTGGCTTTATCTTACGCTTCCAGGCGTCTTTAGTGAACGGACGCGTCGCAACCGCGTGTTCCACTGCAATGGGGCTGATTGGCTCTGGTGATGATGTAAGCGGCTTTGAAACTGATACTGTATGTTTCTTACTTTTCGGAGAGTTATTTTTATTTTCACCGATAGAATCTGATTTTAGTTCTTCTAACTGAGGCGGCGGGGGGCGGTGTAACATCTAATTGCGATGGCGGGGGAGAGGTATTATCCGGTTGAGGTGGCGGGGGTGTAGTGTTCTCTAATTGGGGTGGTGGGAGTTTACATTCCTCTATTTGTGACGTTGAGGGTGAAGAGTCCTCTAGTTTTGGTGGCGTAGGCGTAGATTCTTCGGCCCGTTTCTTACCGATGGTTCCCATCCGACGAATGAAACTGGCACTTTCCTTTTTCTTTTTGTCGACGCTCGGTGAACTGTCGGTGCTGCGTGAGGCGTCACTAGACGCGTCGGCGCGTTGTTTTTTTATTTTTTTACGCATCGTGCGTTCGTCGCGCGCGTTATCTCCGTCTGAGGCGGAGGCTTTAGTGGAGCCCGAGCGTTTGATCGAGCCAATGTGGAAGGGCGAGCCGGATCGGAACGGCGAGCGTAACGAGTGCAGCGTGCGGCGGAGGCGGGAGGGCGCGAGAGAGGGCGCGAGAGAGGGCGCGGCAGCGGGAGCGGGCGACGGCGGGGACAGCGGGGGCTCCGTGTCCCGCATGGCAGCGACTAAAGTAGTATATGGGAGAGCAGCGACTACGGCCGGGCGAATGCGTCGCACAGACTGCCGGAGCCTCCACTGGCGGCCCGTTCCTACACGTGCCGGCCTTGTTCCTGATCGCCCGTGCATGAACCTTGGATATTTCGACAAGACCTGATACGTAGCATAAAATGAAGCCTGTGCAATCGTTACGTTAATCCTCTGCGAATTGGATAATTATAACACGTTACACTGCTGGAAGTCATAGTGGTACATGTCACTAATTTTGTGTACTCTTTACGTTATTGAACAAACAAGATTCCTACGAGAAGGTAATAGTAACGCCTTTAATAAGCGCACTTATTATATTAACATGTGTCCTAATACCATTAGCGCCTAAATTTTTCAGCCTTCAAAACCCTATCATAATGTTATTACGTATCTATGTTTTACTATCACAATGCTATTACGAATGTTATAATATTGAAAATATTTTTATGTATCGTGCGATATATTTACGAACATAAAACTTATTTTAGGCGATATGAACGATTATGAATTCGATTAACTATCCACCATGTTTGTAGAGATATTCAAAAAAAGTTCTGTGAAGAAACCCTTCAACAGAAGTGTTAAATGACTCTCACTTAGAACGCGTATTTTTTCTTGTGGGCTGTGTAATTTTTTTTTATAGAATAAGAATGGCAAACGAGTACGCAGTCCACCTGATGGGGGGGTAAGTGGTTGCTGGGGCCCATAGACATCTATATCTATCCGTTTGAATAAAATGAAGATGTGTTGTCAGCCTTGAGGACGAAGATAGTATGCCTCTTTTCCAGTAAAAAGGGTCTCTGGATCTTACACTCACTATACGAAGCACAGCAGCATTAAAAGTATATTTCTATTTGACGCTGGTATTCTGTGAGAGCGTGGTCCTTCTCCGGTCGAGCCGACCCTTTAGTGCTACACTTTAATTAGCTGCAGCGTGACTGTACCACGTATATATATAAATATTTTCGTATTTTCGTTCTACTGTCAAACAAGCGGGTAATCTTGTCAATTTATTTTTTCTGTTCTAACTTCTAATATATATATATTATATTATATATATATTAATTTTTTATATATTTATATATATATATATATATATATATATATATATATATATATATATATATATATAGTACAGGGTTATTTTTAAAGAGTTGCCAAATTTTAAAGTTAAGTTGAAATATATAAATAATGATATACCATTATTGCACCTTTTGAAAATACTAGTAAATAAGGCTTCTACTTTTATTTGAAATTTTCCCAAATGGAATTTGATGTATGGACCACAATGTTTTTGCTACCGATCGACCCTTAAGAGATAAAAAGGACAGATTGTTTAAGAATGTTTCAATTAATTTTTCTTCACCATTTACCTATATTACTTATTCTGAACTTATTTTCCGGTTATTGCAAAATAAACTATGTGTATATATTAATATATATATATTTAGTAGCCTGCAATGTTACTTTGTTTTTCAAATAAGGCATGGAATCTCGAAGGGCATAAATCTTTTGTAAAAACGAACAGTGACGAACATTTAACCTTAACTAACATATTTACTTATTTTTTATAGAATAAGGTGACAAACGAGTCCACAGTCCACCTAATGATAAGTGGATGCTGTGGCTCATAGACATTCGCATTAATCCTCGATTAAGAATCAAAACGCAGATGCGTTGTCACCCTTGAGTACTAAGATGGAATGCCTCGTTTCCTGTAAAAAAGGATCTCCGAATCTCTACACTCGCCATACGAAACACAACAGTATTAAGTTGCTATTTTACGCTGGCATTCTATGAGATTGTGTAATTTACTGAAATATATATATATATGCTCATTATTATATTTATTTGTTTTATATGTATTGTGTGTAACTCACTATTTCCAAAGAAAATATACACTACTATTTCGTCATGCCATTTATTATTTTCTAATAGAAAAATACAGCCTCTGATTAACTCACGCGACAGTTTTACACACTACAGTTTATTTATTTATTCACAAATTGCGTTAGAGACTTAGTGACTAAACAATAATAATTAATGCAAGTACTAACAATCACATGCACCTCGAAAAGCATAGCAATGAACAAGATTGAGGGAGACACTCAAAAATTATTTTGCTCAATGTATTCATTAATTGAATACTAAATTTTTTAATAAGTATAATTTTTTAATTTAGACGAGTTTCTACATTCTAATGCTATTATATTTTCACAATTACATATACACAATTTAATGTGTTTAAACTTTTGATGACATTTTAAGAAATAATTGTATTTTTTCCTGACGAATACAGTTATTTATATTTTATGATATTTTGTGATATTTAATACTTAAAATTTTATTGATAGTGGTGAGATTTGAATCGTAATTTTTATATAATTGTAATTTTATAATTTTTGCCATTTTATATAATTTAATTGTATACTAATTATTGTAATCTTATATTTTTATTGTAATTTTATATAATTGTAAATTTGGTTGTTAAGCTTTTCAATTGCATTTTTGCATGAATTATTCAACACAATTTGTATTGTTGAGAATAAATAAATAAATAAAGAGCTTAAGAATTTAATAATATTTGTATCTGCTTTTTATTTAGACTGTCGATATTATAATATTATATCCTCGTCATAGATTAAAATTCTTAACAAAATTTTAAGTTAAACCTCATTTATTCTGCTTATTAGGTGGTTGGTTTTCTTTAAATGGGCCGTCCCTTTCCTTCAAAGGTAGTGCTCTCTTAACTTTCTGCCAACAAGCAGCAGGTGCCCAAAGGTAAGGGAGATATTAGAGATGCATTGAATTTAGTTCATATAAACGTTTGTATATTTTTTTGGGGGCTGTAGTATCCACTTGCTATCAGGTGGAATGTTAGTTAGCCTGTCACTTTATTCTATTTAAAAAAAAACTAAAAATTAGATTAGGTATTGCCATGTTTTAACACCAAGTTTTTAGTTTGAACTTTGAACACAGTTTTATTAAATGTGATGTTCATTTCAACGCTATTTTATAGTTTGTTATTGTGAATGAACAGGTATTGTGAATACTTATACAAAATCTCATAATGTTCCTTGATTTATATAAAACATAAATTTTCAGTCTAATTATATATAATATTAAAAGAAAAATCCAAATATCTTTGAATATAAGAAACAATTTCTCAAAATTAAATTTTATAGTATAGTCTTCGTGAGTTATTTTTATGTATTCTATTTAAAAGTAGATTTTATTCAGCCTAAAGTCTGCAACATCTGCAAATGTAAAGACCCATAAATTTTCAGTCTAATTATATATAATATTAAAAGAAAAATCCAAATATCTTTGAATATAAGAAACAATTGCTCAAAATTAAATTTTATAGTATAGTCTTCGTGAGTTATTTTTATGTATTCTATTTAAAAGTAGATTTTATTCAGCCTAATGTCTGCAACATCTGCAAATGTAAAGACCCATAAATTTTCAGTCTAATTATATATAATATTAAAAGAAAAATCCAAATATCTTTGAATATAAGAAACAATTGCTCAAAATTAAATTTTATAGTATAGTCTTCGTGAGTTATTTTTATGTATTCTATTTAAAAGTAGATTTTATTCAGCCTAATGTCTGCAACATCTGCAACTGTAAAGACTAATTGACTCTAGGTTTCATAAAAGCGTCACAGATTAAACAAAAGTTCCGACGGGGCAGAGGTGATTGACGTTCTTGTCATTGCCAAGTGAACCAATGGTGCGTGTTGTTAAACCATAATTAGTAAATACAGGCACTTATATGGACTCTTTGGAAACGGAAGAGAAACCGTACAAATATGCCTGCTAGTTTCGATATCGACCGTCACTTAAAATGCTAGCCAGTAAGCAATTCCGTTTTTGATTATTATCTATTACTAAAGCCATAAGGTATAATGAAGATAAAAATGAATCTGCTGGCGTAAAACATTAATGACGCTTACGAATGAGCGTCACAAATTAGTTTTCACTTCATTCAGCACCATTAATAATCTATGAAAGTTTTTGAATGTTTTATGAGCTGTGGTAGATAGTTTCTAAAACTATAAGTTTACGAAGCAGTGTACCCTACAACAAGTAATAATATGTACATAAGTTTTTATTTGGTTTTTTATCTTTACCCTTGATTTCGAATTTTTTCTATATCTTAATCTACATTCATAAATGACAACTAGGGTAGGGATTCGTTTGGATTCTCCCGACATTTTAAATGATCTCCAGACTCCCGACAAAACTCAAAACCACCAGACCAACAGCTTCTCGGAAAGTTTACGTGTGCCTTTGATTTCATAAAATCTGAGTCGTAAATTGTTTGAATTTTAAACCTTTTCTGAGTACTACAAAAGGGTCCAAATTTATGAACTAGTCAAGTAAAGTCCAATACCAAATATATGTGGCATCTTAAAAATTCAGTGAACTTAAATTAGTTGTGTCAATATTGTTAAATCTTTTATGTAGCCTCTTAATTTAAAAAATAAACTTTTTATTTTTAATATTTATTTCTCCTGACAACAACCTTAAAATCCCGACATTTTAAAAAATTGCCCAGATATTTTGGTCCTCCGATCTGGCAAATCTAATTAAAACTGTAGCCTATACCAATACCCACATTCTACATTAGCTTTGAGGAATACTCAAAGTACATTAGTGTCAACAGTTTGCATTTCATACTAAATACGTACTTGATCTATATGGAAATCGGACTCTTGGCCCGGTGTATCGTAGAAACTGCTTCAACGAGACGATTTTTACTGCTACTCAGCAGTGCAAACAGGAAAAGACTAGGTGATCCGTCCAGAAATGCGCAAAAATGTACCCCACAATAGGCGGATAAATTCAAATACGTTTATAAATATATTTATGTTCTACCTTTAAAATACTAACGTATAAAGTAGATACATTAGAAAATCGAATTCAAAAATAATAATAAGCGGAATTACGAAATGCCCAATCTCT